GTGTGCTCTTCCGATCTTCAGATGTAAAAAGAATTCTTTTTCTAAAAGGGATTCTTTTTGCACCTGAAAATGAACTTAGAATTGATGACATATAAAACTGCAGAATATATTAATGAATTCTTTTGGGCTCTGTGTGCTATCTGGGATGTTACTATTTATAATTACTTTAGTTTATATGCAAGATATGTTTTATTAGGAACGCATTAAAACAATACATTAATCGTTGATCACGATCATATAATGAAAATATCTCAATTAAAATAAACCAATAATATTAAATATTGTAATTAATATAGTACATGTTATTTATGCTTCAACATTTTTTTATCCTTTTCTACGCATATGGCTCGTACACCACTGACCAACATATATACGATTGTTTTCTTTGTCCACCAGGATACCTTTGCCATGTCGGAAACCATCCACAAAGTCGCCTTCATACCAACAATTATTGTTCCATTTTAGAATACCTTTTCCCTGAATTTTATTACACTCGAATTGACCCTGCATAATTTTTTAATTTTATTTATTTTTGCATAATTCAAATAATATTTTAGAATAAAAATCGAGATATTGATTCAATTTTGAAACCCACATGTCGTATTTAAGAAAATAAAAATTAAAATAATGTTCTGTAATGTATGTGATTAGTATACTCATTGATTGCAATATATATTAATTTTTTAAACAATTAAGTATTAGGATAGACCGTCAATATTAAATACAAATTAAGAAACGAAAACCGCCAATACGATCCAAGCGGATTTTGGTGCTCGATAATATTATACTGTGCAGTGAATCTTTCAATTTATCGATTAATTAATTTTTTAATCTTTGTTCGCGTTATATGTTAATTATGACCGATACGTTATCCAGCTTGTATTGCATCTATACTACTCTTATCAATACCTTGTATTGAACACCATTAAGCCATGTATAGGTTCCTTCGCCTTCCATCATTTTTCTGCTAATACGACCGCAATAAGAATTATTGTTATAAAACTTTATGTTGGCATATTCATCCGGCAGTGAAAGCTTCAATGATGGAATTATTATCTTATCTTTTTTTGTCTCTTCTTCTGTGATAAACGAATCACCGTTTTTATTATAATCATCTATTTCTTTATTTTCATCTAAAGTTTCAGCATCGTCCTGAATTAATCTCCTCGCATTTTGTTTCTTCCGCAAGAAATATCCATCCCATCTATATATCGATCAAATTGAAATTAATAGTATAATAATGAAATCTAATTCTTACTTATTTAATATTATATTAATATTAATAGTTTTTAATTATTTTACTCAGTTACAAAAGCTGGAAGTATTTCGTTGTACAATGAATAAATAAACTCTTCTTTAGTCGTATATTTGCGGCGTTTTTCAGCCAGTATGTCCTCGAATGGCAATTCCTCGTCCGTAATTTTCTCAGTTTCTATTGAGTCGATATCTTCCTCATATAAATCTTCTTTTTTACGTACCTCTTCCGTTTCGTCAAAAAGGATTAAAGGTTCCGTTTTTTTTCTACACTTACGCAAAATTTCTTCCTGCAGCGCTTTCATGTCTAATTCTTTTATCTCGTATTCCATATGTTATTATTTATATACTCAATTAATGACAATTAATGTTTCTTGTGATATTTATTACACATATATATGTTTAATGTATATATCTAACAATAGCATAAATTTGATCTTATTGTTTTTTGCTTTTTTGGTTTGCTCTATAGAACTCACTGATTTACTTTTCTTTTATTCCTTTTTTTCGCAAAATATAGCGCTAAAACAGGAGACACGGTAGTATCTCGGTGTCAAATCAGTCCATAAACAAGATTGATTGTGTACACGAGCCAGCGAGCACGCAGCCTTGTGCTAACACTCGGTATGCACTGACAGCGTGCACCCCAGCCACCCCAGGTCCCTGAACGTGCCTATATATTGTAAAAAAACAAAAAAATACATGAAAAATACTTATGTAATTTGTTGTATGTATGTAAATGACATATAAATATCATTGTCTATTTCCGCCATAGATATGTATAATACTATATTCATGTGACAGTATAAAATGACGTATTAGAAAGTAGGTTGTTGATTATATATTACTTTTGTAAATATTTAATGAAAAAGTTATTTAATGAGAACCGATCAATAAACTCTTTCTACATTTAATTCACGAAGAGAAAGTACACAGACCTGTATACATATAAAATACAAAATGCTGAAAAAAGAAAAAATAAACGTAAGGCTATATATGTTTATATACATCATGTTTTAGGTATTATATATTTTTTAAATGTATAATGTAATGTTCAAAAAATCTAAACTGTTAATCTTATAATTTATTGCGTCATATACATTTTTAACAAATATGTAATTTATAATGTATTACATTATTACAAAATTTTAAAGTATATAAATAAGAAGAACACGGAAAAATATTTTACTCTCAATCTATAAGTATAATATATAACACTTGTTAGAAATTTAACAATTTCTATTTAAACTTACATTTTTTATAAAGATTTGCACAATCTTTTTAAAAATATTTCTTTTTTGTTACAGTCTATCTCATCTTATAATGATGAAGATGAAAATATTGAATCTATTGTATTTCGTGTTCCAGCAATGTACAGCGATAAAGTCAAAATCCACGATTGGTTGGTACTTTGCAATTTATAATTTTACTTATTAGAATAAATTCAATAACGCAACAAGTATTCAATAATTATAATGTTTTTATTTAGAGATAATATATATGCCAAATATATTTTGTACTTTATTTATTTAACTATACTTTATGTAACTAAATTTTTTTAATTAAAAATTGTATCGTTAAAAGATATTTAATCTTAAACAATATAAATAATAATATAAATAGTAATGTTATCTGATGTTTATTGTAGAATTTTGACTTTTTTATATAAATATTTTTAGCTTTATAATTTTAATTCTTATAACTGCCTAGATAGCATAAAGAATTGAAAAAAAATTCAGTCATATATGTTATTAATTCTGAGTTTGTTTTCAGATGGAAAAAATTTTTTTTCGTACTCTGAAAATGAACTTAGAATTGATGATATATGATCGAATGTATGAATTAATTCTTTTTGAATTCTATGTGCTATCTGGATGATTATTTTTTTGTAAGTATAATAAAAACTTTTACGAAAATTTATTTTACAGAATCTTTACTGTAAATTAATTTTTAAAATAGTGATATGCTGTTTATCCGTGTAGAACAATAGGTCGTTGATATCGTCAAAGTTTTAAAATTTCAAATTTTAACATTAAAGTTTTAACGTTAAAATAAATTGTAATTAACTGATCGAAAAGTGACTTTTAATAATCATTTTGTTGTCATGATGACTTGTTGTTCTGCTTGGGTACATATATTAGATAAATTGCGATAAAATTATACCCGTAAGCATATCACACATACCTATATTAGCTCATTTACATAAGGAAACATGGGGGTGTAGTTACCGTGGAGAAAAGCGAGTTGTTAATCGTAGCAACGGTACTTTACTTCATGAACCTTACAAGAATATTTACATTTTTGTATTTTATATAATTATTTGACATAGAGCGCGACCAATCATGTAATATTTTTATCAAATTAATTAGCGTGACGTTAATTATTATTTAAAAAATATAACTTGCATTAAGATAAATCTTTATATTGTCGGAAAGAAATAAAAAGGTGAGTTATACACACATATATATATATATATATATATATATATATGTATTATATATTGTGCGTGTATATATATTTTGACTTCCTTTAAAATAGTAAATGTTTCTAACAATAAAAGAAAAATAAATATTCCTAAATAATTATAAATAAATATGTAAATTATAAATAAAAATATTGATGTTTTCTCAAATTAATCTATCATGAATTTATTATTTATATGTCAATTGTATACGGAAATATTATTTAAATTTTTTAAGTGTTAAGAAATTGATATATTAATTCATATTAATAAATAAATAGCAGTATTAATTATTACAGTGTATCATTATATATTATAATATATACTAATATTATATATTGATATTATAACGTACTATAGTATGTTATATTGATATACTATCATAGATATCATATCGATATTGTAATATTATGTACTAAATATTAATAAGTTTAATTCGGTTTAATAGTATAAAAGTTGATACATTTAAACAATTAAAACTCAAAATTTATTTCTCATCAGTGATTTTATTTGAACAATTAACAGGCAAATGAAAACCTTATCGGAGCCTAGAGACAATGTGGATATATTTCCACCGAAGGGCAATCTTCACAAATCATCATATCAGAGACTCGGGCCTGAGGACAAAATCACTGGAATTTCGGAGACATGCGCCATGTTATCGCAAATTAAATTGAAAGACGAATACAAGCCAATTACTTATCCACGACGCAGTTTACTTACGATGCAATCGCTTGCTTCGGCGGAGTATGTATCCCTCGATCATCATTTTAATTAATTTGTATACTATTTGTTCCGTCGGTGACAAATATATATCCAAGAATCTGAATTAATCCATGCAGTGTAGTTTGTATGCAATGTATTTTGTTACAATTTTTATAATGTTCCTTGGTCTCTATATGTAAATTTTAATTTCGCAAATCAAATTGATATTAGCATGATAGGCAAAATTAGACGCATAAGTATTCGGCGAGTGTTATACATTTTTGCAAAATTGTTATATAATTTAAGTATGTCTCTTTGTATAGTACACAGCTAATACAATGGATTATTTATTTTTATAAATGTAAATGTTTTCATCTGACACGGGTAATGAAATTACGTTTAATATTTTATATTTTGGAAATTAAATTAAAGGAAATCATAAAATGGAAATAAGGATGGATGGTCGACGATAGAAAAATAAATTACTATTAGTGCAATTTATTGCGAATTTATTTTTTGACTTCGCAATAAATAAATTCGCAATAAATTGCACTAATAGTAATTTATTTTTCTATCATCGACCATCCATCCTAGCTTTTATTCTAAATAGAAAACAGAATCCTTCCGGTAATTGTAAACTTAATTGTGTCTCTAGACTTTCTATTATATGTGATCGACGGGCGTTAACCGGAGGTATAATGTTTCTCCCTTTCAGAAACTAAATATCTTTCGCATCGCGCGCTAAGTCTAATATAGCGTTAATTACAATGAATGTGTACGCTCGTGTATGCGCGTATGTAAAGTTAGCCCTCCAACATTAAAATTCCATAATTCTAATTAGAATTCCCTCGCTTCATTAATTTGAGTTCTCTATAGTTTAACAAGAGTTCTAAACATTTTTTAATTTAAATAAAAAAATGGAGTGCTAACTTCTTATCAAAATTTAAAATGAATTAAAAATTGTTATTAAGTAGAATTCTTGCTATTATTATATCAACGTTATATGAATTTATTCAAAAATTTTTTTAAAACGTTTATAATGCAATACAATTTGAAATACATATATATTTAAAGAATTATAAAAGATTATAAGTAATTTAAGACAACAAATTCTTAATCAAGTTTTTCATGCACTCTCAAGATAATAATTCAATGTTTTCTAGAAAGGATTACGAGGAGAAGGTATTAAAATTAAAAGACATCCTTCTGGATCCTATTTATCACATGAACTATCGCACTACCACGAGCAGCGATTATCGGTCACCTTATCCTCCGAAACCGAAACCACCACCATCACCACCATTACCAGAGCCATGGTTGCTAAATCGACGCACCATTGGCTATAATGCTCAGGATTTGGAAAATCGTTGTGGATATCACACATTTTTAGATGATGATATGGATCTTTATCAAAGAATAGCAAAGTTGAAAATGCAAAGGGAAAAGCTATATGAAATTCTACTAACAAATAAACACCAACAAAATTCTATAAATGATTAAAAAATTATATACATGTTTCAATATTTAAATATACAATAAATATATATATATATATATATCGTACTTGTATATTTAAATAATAAAAATATTTTTAATAAAAATGATCTCATAGCTTAATTTTATATACATTTCTTATTTCTAAGATTCCTTTAAATGAATCCGATATTATGAATATATGTGATTATTAAACATAAAATGGAAAAAATTTGTTCTATATTAAGTATGATGTATTATGCTAGAATCATTTTTTTAAAAAACTGTTTTTTATGTCATGGTCATAGAAAAAAAGTAACAAAATATTAAACTTGTTATAAAAATATATAAACATGATGTTTTAATAAAACTATTATTTTTAAATTCATTTTTTGTTAAATACAATATGTTTATGTACGTCAATTTATATGCTTTATGTTTATAATCACGACTGTAGTTTTTATTATTATTATTATAGCTTTGCAAAAAAATACGTAAAACTTGCATTTTTTTTAAAAGTAATTAACTGTGAACTTTCTTTACACCAATCAATTAATTATCTAATTAGTTTGTGTATAAAAGTATTTTAAAGTACAACATATTTTCAAGAAATCAATAAGTTTACGAGATATATATTTAATATTTTATGTCCAAATATACATAGTATGATAAAATATTAATTAAATATATATCTCGTAAAGTATTAGATTTTCGATAACTTTATTTGAACTATACTTTAATATGCAATACTTTAATATGCAATACTTTAATATGCAATACTTTAATATGCAAAATAATTAAAGAAATCATATATATTATACTTAAAAAAATTATATTATTCCATTTAAAAAAGTGGAGTAACCTCCATGTAATCTTGAAAAATCGATTTTTTGGGAGAAATTGATTTTAACGTTACATCTCTCTTCTCATATCCTACAAGTTTTTCCTGAAATATTTTTCCAAGCTATTCAACTCGTTACGTTTGAAATAAAACACCCTGTATAATGCTCCTGATCACTCAAGATGGTCGTAATTGATTTTTCCTCTTACCTCTCAGGCTTCACTCTTCTCGTCCATGTGCTCTCTTCTATACACCTCCATGTTCCACGTAAAAGTCTGTGCTCCCGGCAGTCCCGCGGGCTTTATGCAAAAGTCTGTGCTCCAGCGCTCCTTGCCCCCAGCCCCAGCCCCAACTGTCCCACGTCCAACAGCTGATATCAGTACCGAGCGATACCTGTCAGATATTAGTCATAGTAGAAAAAGATCTAACGTTTAATCATGCCGCTCTGCAGATCCTCTGTGATACATTTATGGATGTGTGTCACGGGGGAAACGTTATTTCAGATAATATGACGAAAGAGTGGCGTCAATCCGCTGGTGGTTAAACGAAGGTACGTAGAAATAAGGCTCTCGCGTAGGTTATGCAAGCCTCGTTATCTGTCAGACCACGTACAGTGAGATGGATAAGCACATGTATCTATGGAGGGGCGCCAACAAATTGTCCTTCACGTTCGGCGACAAGCCGAACGGCCTCATTTCCAAGCTCGTCACCGTCAAGGATCACATTTTCGCGGCGACCACGACCAACAGCCTCTATCACGGGGAGGCGTCGTTCCGCGAGGGAGGCGTCTGCCCCGCGCTCGTTTTCAAGCGGGCCCAATACGACGTCGTCGACCTAGCATCCAATTCCGAGCACCTGTTTGTCGTGAACACTAACGGGCATGTTTTGAAAGTAAATCCTCAGGACATGAGTGTTTTAGACTCAATAATTCTCAAGGAAGAAGTAAAGTACTGTAGCCATGGGTATGTATATATACAGATAGATAGAAGTTTTCATTCGCAATTGAAATTTATATAAACCTATACTTTTTTAACTATCGCTTAATCATTATTTAGTTCTCTTATTTATGGATATGTATAAGTTTTATTTTCATAATTCTTTTAAATACATAAAACATAAGATATATTTTTGTATATTCTTATGTATACACTGTTATTTATAATAGATATATATAATATATAGAAGATTTGTTCTTAGCTGATAAATAAGTTTATTGAGCCTGTTTGAATGTTTTGACTGTGCTGTGTTCATAATTATTATTTGGTTAAGCATGGTGCACCTGATTATATCGAAGACGTTCTATTTTATTTGCAGATGCAAAGAAGAGAATGAAGTAGTGAAGGTGAAATATATAGCGGTCAGCGATCAAGCAGCATTATTTGTTACGGACAGCGGACAGTTGTGGGCTAGTGGCAATCAACCGCAGATAGATATAAATAGTACAGAGCCGAAGAAAGTTAAATTTTTTGAAGGGAGGACAGTGTCCGAAATTGCATGTGGCTCCAACTTCAATGTCGCCGCCGTGAGAAAAACCACTAAACTTATAAAAGACGATACGGATAGTGAAAACGAGTTGGAGGAGGAGGTCTTCGTTAATTCCTGTCCGCAATGTCTTAATAACGTTATGTTAAGTCCCGGGAGCGTAACATCGTCAGACACGTGTCTCACCGGTCTCCATGCGCAGCAGTTCAGCGAGGATCGCTCGACAAATTCCATCAGCGCTCTCTCCACTGCCAGTAAAGAGCACATTTCTCTGCCAGAGGTGGACAAGAAGGAGCAACCGTCTGACATCGTTGAGAACGGCGAGGAATGTCTGAATAATTTAACCGATTCCGACAAGGACGAGAAGAGAAACGTTATATTTATAAACACCGAGACCGCTCGGCAATTTCTCACCCGGCAACTGTCGTGGGTCTCGTCTTACGGAAGTGCCAAGGAAGACATTCCCATGGAGAGTGTCGATCGGTCAACAAGACTGATAAAGCAAAATGTCTCGAATATGGCAAACCTGGTGTACGAGGGGGTGAAAAATGTGGGCGGTAAAGTTGTAACTTTATCCAGACATATGAGCGGTAGTTCTGATATTAATGAGAGCAAAGCCGATAGCAATGAACACTTGGAGGAGCAAGGGGACACCTACACGAAACCTACCGCGACCAGTTTAGCATTGAGCTTGCGCTGCGAGGAATTTCCTTGGTCGTCCAGTACCGGCTCCTCCGAACACGAATTATCCCAACACGGCTTGAACGAAAGGATCAATACGTTATCTCGCGCTGGCAGCAACCTACTGGCGACAGAGCTCTGGACGTGGGGCGATGTACAGTACGGGCAATTGGGAACGGGAGATATTATTAAACGGCCAAGGCCAGTACTGGTGACAAAGCTCAACCATACCGGTATCAGAAAAATTGCTTGCGGTGCCTTCCACGTGCTCGCTTTAACACTGGACGGCAGAGTGTTTGCATGGGGTCGTAACAACTTTAAGCAAGTCACCTTGCACACTACAGTAGACCAAAGCGCTCCTCAGCTATTCACCACAAAATTATCTTCCAATGAAAGAGCTATCGATATGGCAGCTGGCAGTTTCCATAGTTTAGTAATGATGCATCATGGTTTATATTTTATGGGACAATCGAGGTAACTAACTAAAATAGAAATCTTCTTTAATTAATAATATTTTACTTTTTATTTTATTTCTATTTTTCTTTAATTAATATTTTATTTACTTACAAATACATTACGATTTCAGTAAAGTTGGCGATATGTTTCAACTTGACATACAAAGCAAGGATGAATCAAACAGTCCGAGGGAGATTTTTAGTTCTGGGCAATACAGTTGTTGTTCTGTGATAAACGAACCGGCAATAAATGTATCAGAAGATTTGATAAACGATCAGATCTTCCTGGAAGAAATGTTGACTGTTTATCAGAATCTCATCAAGCCGTTTCAGAAGAAGAGTGGCGTGACCCAGGAAGCCAATGTATATGAAACACTGTGTCGTTGTTATGCAGAGTTGATGCATTTTAGCGTTTTAAACGTCATAAGTTTGTGGGATTATTTCAATCATATTGGAGAAGCGTATGAAGTCACAATTGTTGCCAATATAGAGGAATTTACGACAGTATATAAATACTATTTGAATGCTGTTTGCGATGTTATATCTCTTGGTGGTTTTATGCATATTGCAAAAGTCATTGAAGTGCCACAAGTAGTATCAAATTTATTTGTACATAATTTAAAAAGTAGTGATGTAAAAAAGCATAACAATGAAATCGTTATAACAATGGCATTACAGCACCCTTTATGTAAATTAAATAGGTAAGTTCATACATATATACATATATGTATATATACCATTTATATTACAAGCAACAATTATTATATTACATTTCATATTGATTAACATTAACTTTGATTATATAATGGTATTTTACTGAAATTTTTATAGAATAACATATAATGTTATTCATATATAACATGTTATTCATATTATATAACACATCATATATAACATGTTATTCATATTATAACATATATAATGTTTTATTACAGATACAAGACTATGATTCATAGCTTGATAAAAAGTAATGGCACGAAGATGGGTGTTGAACGATTACAAGAAGCTCTTATAAAATGGGAGCAAGTACACGATGAACAAGATAAACGTCAGAAAGAGGCGGAAGCTACGAAATTATTTTGGGAGAGCTCCGGAAAACTAGGAGAATCGCTGAGATCTCCCAATAGAAGGCTCATTCGAGAATCAAGGGCATACCCGTTATCGATACTTAATTCTGGAAGATTTTCATCCCATTGGTTTGTCTTATTAACGGATATTTTCATACATGTTACTGGCACTACACATACAATTCATCCGCTTCGAACGTTATGGGTGGAACTTCTACCAGACTCCGAAAATGTACAGGTACAAAATTGTTAACTTCGGTCTATTACATTATATTTCGTTAACAATGAAAACTGATATAACAACAAATATAATTGAAAAGTATAATTAAAAAAATATTTTTTAGAATGCTATATCGATTGTTACACCAGAAGATAATTTCGTGTTATACACCCCTACTGCTTCCGAACGGAATGAGTGGTTACATGCCCTACAAAATACTATAAAATACAGTTTGCAAAGAGTGATCGGAAATGTGCCTCCATTAGTACGATCAAGCTCATTCTCTTTCACAAAGCATAATATTTTTAAGGATGCAAAATATACTGGTTTGTAAAATTATATTGAAATATATTTTCACTGAAGAAGCGTTACGAATGAAGGGACATTAAGTCGTATCACAAATTCACAGGACGCTGGTTGAATGGTAAACCACATGGTTCTGGGAAATTGGAATGGTCAGACGGTCGCACGTATGTAGGCCAATTTCATAAAGGTGTCATTCATGGTACTGGAAAAATGGAAATTCCAATGCAAGGTGTATATGAAGGCCAATGGAAAGATGGTCAGCAAAATGGATATGGAACGATGAAGTAAGATTTCTTTCTTGAAAATGTGTGCGTTTGTGTTTATTTTTTTCTGAGGTAATCAATACATGTATGTGTGTACAACCTTTTGTTTCTAACATCTTTAGTCTACAAATTATTCACAAAAAATTGATTATGCAAAAATATTTTAGATACACCAATGGAGATTTTTATGAAGGATATTTTAAAGACGGATTACCTCATGGCCATGGTGTCAAAAAAGAAGGTCACTTTATGGCGTCAGTTGCATCTGTTTACATTGGAGAATGGGCTGCTGGTGTTAAACAAGGTTACGGAATAATGGATGATATAATGACTGGTAAATATACATTTATTAAATTAAAACTAAATTATAAATAAAAAATTCTAAAAATAAAATATAACAGTAATCTCATTTTTTAACAGTAATCAACTTTTTTCTTAAAGTCAAAATTATATACATAAGTTTACTTACTTAATAAAGTATTTAATTTAGTAAATAAATATATATATATATTATTAATAATATTATAGGTGAAAAATATCTTGGGACATGGAGTAATGGTATGAAGCATGGTAATGGTTTGATCGTAACACTTGATGGCATTTATTATGAAGGTATTTTTACGCAAGATATCCTAACGGTAATTATACATTTGAACATTTTTTCTTATAAAATATTTTTAAAAAAATTGGAAGTTATTGATTTTTGATCATTATTCATTTAAAGGGTCATGGAGTAATGGTATTTGAAGACGGCACGCATTATGAAGGTGAATTTAAGTCCGCAGGAATATTTTGTGGAAAAGGTACATTAACATTCCGCAGTGGCGACAGATTAGAAGGCAACATGAATGGTGCATGGAACGAAGGTGTCAAAGTTATTGCCACATTACATATTAAAGCTAGTGGAACTGCACAACCTAATTCAAAACCAGCGTAAGTACTCACTCTGCTGTATTATATACTCTAACATTATAATATTAAATATTAATATTATACAAAAATTGCTTTATAGTAACAAATAATAAATTATAATTAATAAATTATAATTATATAAATTAATTATAATTAATTATTAGCAATTAATTATAATAAAAATAGCTTTCTACATTATTCTCATTATTTTCGTTAGATCTTTTGGAAAACTATGTGTACCTCCGGATCAGAAATGGAAAGCGATATTTAAACAATGCTATCAACAACTTGGCGTATCTGAATCAGTCACAAAAAATTCCAATTACAATGAAAAATCTGTAGAAACGCAAAAAGTATGGCAAAATGTTGCTAGTATAATAACAAAATCCCATCAAAAAACGTTGCAACGAAAAAAGCTGTCTGCCAATACTTCAAATGCTAAAGAAAGGAATAACGAAACTATCGATCAGCTGGATAAGATACCAGGTTTTGGACGAGACAAACTTACCAGTCAGACTTACAACGAAATTCACAAGTATTTAGTGAAAGCTTTTGAAAGCCCGCATCATCCGTTAGGCGCTCTTTTAACAGAAGTAGCAACGGTATATACAGCTACTTATGGTGGAGTAAGAGTACATCCGTTGTTGCTTAGCCATGCAGTGTCGGAGCTTCACAGTATCACAACAAGAATATATGAGATTGTGCTGCTTTTATTCCCGGCTCTACCACGCTGTGGCAAAGAGTATGTTCTTGAAACTGACAGTGAAGAAGAGTATGTATAACATCTATAAACATTATATCTAAAATTATGAAATCAGTATTCTGATTCAAAGATATTTACTTTTAGGCAAGTCATAAGCGCTGCCGCGATACTTCATCCAATATTACTGCCACGTGTACATTCAGCACTTTTTGTATTATACGCCTTACATAATAAAAAGGAGGATGATGCATATTGGGAAAGATTGATGAAATGGAATAAGCAGCCCGATATAACTCTGATGGCCTTCCTTGAAATTGATCAGTAAGTAGTAAATTTTTAAATAGTAAAAATTCCAGTTACAATGAAAAATCTATAGAAACGCAAAAAGTACGGCAAAATGTTGCTAGTATAATAACAAAATCCTATCAAAAAAACGTTACAACGAATATAAATAGTACATTTATAACGCTAGAAAAACATTAATCGTCATATACAGAAATATTCTACTTCCCAATGAACAGATAATGTTTGTTAATATTTTTTAAATATTATAATATTGAATAAATATTTGAAAAACATTCAAAAAACATTATGCTTTCATTGAGTTCAATATAATATTATAATAATTATATTGTATTTTATTTTTATAATCGCATTTTTGTACAAAATTTAAGGAAATTCTGGAAAACTACAAATGTAATGAGCATTTCAGACAGTTCATTACCATATCAGCATGAACCATATTTCAGTGAGGCTATAGAAACTTTGCAGCAACTTAAAACAACTTTTTCACCTTTAGAAAAGTTGTTAGTAGTCAGAAATACATTTGAACAAATGACACAAGTAAGAATACATAGGCAATAATATTAATATTACGATTTATGTAAGCGCATCTAAAAATAAATTATTAACGCATTTTTCTACGTTCAACAATAGGCAGTACAAAAACAATTAGGGTCTACATATTTATGGACGATGGACGAACTATTTCCAGTATTTAGTTTTGTTGTAGTCCGCGCTAGTGTATTACAATTAGGAAGTGAAATACATTTTATTGAGGACTTCATGGAGCCGTACTTGCAAAATGGAGAACTTGGCATTATGTTCACTACTCTTAAGGTCAGATATGATTATAACGGATAAAATGTTCTCTGCAAGATAAGAATTATTTAATAAATAATTAAATTAATTTTATTATAGGCATGTTATTACCAAATATTACAAGAAAAAACAAACATGGGCGATTAAAGCAGTGTTCCCACAAATATATGGTACAATGAAATGATCTATATATACATATATATATGAGAGTATAAGATTATACTCATAAAAATACATAACAAGATAAAAATAGATATATAAAAAGTATGTATTTGTATTATAATACACAAAAGTGATAATTTGCATTTAGAAGACATAATACAGGCTTTAGCATCATGATTATGTGAAGCCAAAGTGTCAGATAAGAGAGATAAAAACATGGCATAACATATCAATTTATTTTGTCATTCTAAAGTACGTATAAGTTTGCTGTTGAAAGGTAGTAATCATTAGTTAATTCAATGTTCTGCAAATAACGTTTGCACAGAAATTGAACTTCAGTACTTCCAGTTCTCTGTTATTCGAGGATATCGCGCATTAAAAGAGGTGCGTAGCTCAATATTGTGATAAGAAAATAGTTGGAAGTTACCTTTATTTATATATCTTCTCTGCAATGTTAACTCATAGAAACACTTAAGAAAGCGTTTCTATAAATCAACGTTTTTAAACAATTTTTTAAATCTATAGATATGATTGCTTATCATACACTTATCTTTTTAATTTGTAAATATATATCACTGTTTTTCAAATAGACATTCTCTTTTATACAATTTGCAGCATGCCATATTTATTTTAATATCACTTTCAAGATTTATTTATTATAGTTTAAAAATTTTAAATTACAATATACCACAATACATGCTGTAACTATTGTAATACAAATGAATACAAGAGAGGAAATTGTTCCTCATTAAATAACTCAACAAATTGTTTCTAATATAATTCATATAAAGAGTATATTTCTCTGTAATTTGCAAAAATATGTGCTAGATATCTGTTTGTTAACAAATTCTATGTATAGTCTCCATTAAAATATATGTATGTATAGTATTGTAAGAAATGTAGATTATAAACGTCTATGAATTAATTAATTCATATTAATAATTCATACATATATATTAATTAAAATTATATCTTGTTTAAATATTTAGGATAATTTTAAGAACTTGTTTAAAGTTATTTTAAACTATTTCAGAACGCGCGAACATCATACAATGATATCATATTGAAGTTATAGTTTTTGTATTTACAAATATTATTTAACTGTGACGTTATATGTGTTCCATACATTGTCTGTTACTTTACTTTTATTTTATTTATATGTGATAATAGTTAAACGCGAAACGCGTTTCCTAATAACTAGCATGTACCTGAAACTTGTTCTTTATATTAATCTAAAAGAGCTCGCTTCTCGCTCGATATTTATATTTTTCATGAACTCTATTTTTATCAAAGAATATCATGTAATATTACATCAGAAGGATCATGCGATTGTTTATCTTCTTTCGTATCACAAAACAGAAATTGACTGTAAAATATTTCAACAAGTTTCAAACTATTATTTGTCTACATTTTAAGACGTCATCAAAATTAGTTGTGCGAGCTCAATCGGATTAATATATGATGAATGTACAATAATTATTTTCAATACGCTAAACACATTTTATAATATATGTTTGTCGGAGCCAAAATTGAAAGATCAAATAATTAGTATCAAATAATATAATAAGAGATCAAATTCCCGTGTGAACGTATTCAGTTAAAATATGGATAAAGGACCATTGTATTAGTCACAATTTGCGGAAGGAATTTCATTTTCTGGTATAGCAAACATTCTAAATATTCAAAAAGTTGTAGTACATGGAATAGTTATTTATTTACGTAGTAATATTCGAAAGAATGTATAAGTAATGAAATATTAATGTTGTATACCGTATTGATATTACTTAAGCAAGATAATTTATTCGATAATATATATTGGAGATATATACTTTTATTGTCAAAGCGGAAATGTGAAGCGATTAGTTTACCACCAAAAGCCCATTAGGGGGAAATTTGTAGAATGATATATTAAATGAGTCGCATTTTCTACTAAATGATGTAACACGTGGAGTGGAGGAGCTATTGGCATATTATTTTGTACTAGTAAAAATAGTACACTTAAAAAAAATACTATAAAAAATAGTAATTTGTACTATTAGGAATAAAAATAATATAATCATGCAAGTATAACACAGCATAATGAAATCTACGTATCATTATGTGTACGTTTAAGTAATTATACATCCGATTTATTTTATAATGTCTTTCTCAGGCAATATAAAATTTTTCGAATAGTATAAACACTATACATATATTACAAATTTTACAACAATTTTGACAATGTTCCATATTATTTGTAACGTGAAATAAAAACAAATTATCTGACTTGATGTATAATCGACCGATTATGTTAACATGAACAATTGTTTGTTCATCATCATTGTAAAAAAATTAAGTGGTCAAATACATGAAAATACGTATTTTTTTCTCTCTAAATAAAACTATTCCATACTCCTCTTTTTTGAACTCTTGAACTTTACGCTTCCATGCGGTACATGCGCGACCTTAGGTCCAGCTTACGACCCGACATACGACGTATTGTAGAACGGGCCTAAAATGGTTACACAGGATATGTCTAAAGAAAATTACATAATAGTACCTGTATCAGGCATATATCTTTTTTTTTCTAAACAGCATTGAATTTCAGACTTTGAAGATTGGCGCAAATTGTTCGCCTCAGATATCCAACTCTATTTTTACCGAAGTAGCCCACATACAGTCGGAAAATTATATTCTTCGAATACTCCGTAATGTGACATTACTCTAACATTGTGTATATAATATTTTAAATTATATATTTGAAAGCAATTCCATATTATTTATAGGTGGTAGAGAGGAAGTTCAAGTGCCATTCCAAAAGCGGAGAGAAGCATTTTCTTTCTCAGAAGAAAATGCTTCTCTCATCGAGTCCGATGAGTCCAGATTTCACTCTGATACATTTATAGTTAATTATTCACAGATGCTAGAACCACGTCTAATTGTATAATCTTCCGGTTTATAATTAGTGTTTGTTTCTACATTTCAACTTCATCTGTTTAAGATGCAACTGCGTATATTTCATATTTGACCTTGTAGTTTACATAATTTTCTATTTGAATTTTGCTATGCACTTAGATTATGCTCTGATCTGTGTCTTGTATTTTTTTTACATACGTTTAATAGTTTCGACATTTATTATAAGTATATTTATTATATAATACGTAATTTAATTTTACACTAATGCTCAGTACACTGAAAATATTCACGATTAAGCTAGTTTTGTAAATGAATTTATAATAATACTCATTATAATAACACTCATTTATTAATATGTAATTTAATTTTACATTCATACTTAATTTGTGATACAGAGCATATTCACGATCGAGCTGGTTTTATAAATGGATTTAATAACATTCAATTTATGGGATACCTTTTTTTTTATTACCTTTATGCATCTCTGAGAAAAAGAAAGAATCAAATGCCAAATAAATATTATCGCACATATCTATCACATAAAAAAGAAATATTTACCTATAAAAACTTTGATTCATTTTTAACATTCTGTTTAACATTGTGCGCAATTTACAAGCTAAAAACCAAATTGCTATTGAATCTGCATGCTGCGAGGTTCTGTTGACATTTTAATCTAATTATACAAAATTGGCCCAAAATATTCTTTGTCAACTATCAATGCTTAAGATTACTTGATCGATTCATTTTTCAAATATTAAGTCGTATAGCGACTCTGAATTAATAATAAGGTCTCTTTTATAATTTTAAGCGGCAATATAGGTTAATTGTTATGCACAATTTTACATAATACTTATCTTGCGTAGAGATTGTTACGTTTGTTACAATAGCAAAATGGTATGCCGATGCAATTTCTTATTCAACAAATCCTCGTAGTTTGATATTTATGCCATTAATTTATGACTTATGCACAAAATAACAATAATTTGACGGGTAACATCGGCCGGGTATTTCGTTGTCAAATCGCGGATACACAGGCACACAGCTGACAGCACACGCATGCGCGGTTTCCGATTTTCCGAGTCCCGGGCGTAAAGTCACTAGATTTATAATCTAGGAACTTTACCCGGGCCTCTCGCTACGCGACAGTTCGCGAAAGTAGAGATAGGTGGAACGTGGATAAGAGTTGGCAAAGTGGAAATCCGATTGTTGTGTCGAACGATACATGAAGTTTTGATGAGACTTTATTCACGATAAATGTCGAACGTGAATTATAATTGTAAACGCAAAAACGTTCTTAAACGAGCTTTCCGCTGTGCGAGACTCTTGGCAACGAACGAAATAACGGGCGTTCAGAAGTTACGTCGCAGGCGATCATAACCTGCGAATGTAAACTAACCCCTCAACATTTGGCTACTCATTGTAAACTTTGTACACGAGGGAATTTTCTTCAGTGTGAAACGTCGCTGCATCTGAAAAACGTACGTAATATTCAATTATTGCAAGAGTACCTTAAAATATATTCTTAGTTATCTTAGAATATATAAAATAATTATATCTCAGAATATTTCTTAGATCGTGGATTGTATGATAATTATTTAATTTGCGCTGCAAATAAAACTTCGAATGACGTAACTTTTTAATGCTAAACTTTTTTAGAATCTTGTCCTTGGTAAGGAAAGTCACATACATTTGAAACTCATGTCGAAACGCAAGTTTGACGACATGGCAGATATGCCTGATAATCAACCGCTTAAAAACTCGCTGGACTCGGATGAAGATGACGACGAAGTGAATGAGGCCAACTATAATGTCATGAATGAGGATGAATTCGAAGGTATCTAGATTTGGATTGCGTTACGTAGGTATATCAGTATGCTACGTTTATCGTTATTACTTTTATTGTTCTCAATTCGTATTTTATATAATATTCGATTATTAAATTTATACAATATATAACTATGGAATATCTTAATTATATCTATTTGTAACAGGTACGGAAGATGGACCCTCAGCACCGGAAGCGAACGTGGGATTTACGGCATTTAATATGAAAGAGGAGTTGGAGGAGGGCCATTTTGATAAAGATGGCCATTACCTGTGGAAAAAGGAGAAGCAAATAAGGGATAATTGGTTGGACAATATCGATTGGGTTCAGGTGAGTGAGATGAACAAATGGAAGCTTCTAAGAAGAAGATTAACTAATCCATTTGCATGAAAATGTAGAATTCTCCTTTTGCACAAAATTTGTACTTTCAAGAATTACATTACTCTAAACTTTTAAAGCAGTGTTATGTGTCATTTTTTTTAATAATATAAGATTAAAAAAATATCGTTACGTGCATTTTTCATAGATCAAACCTAGTTCCGCCACTGATGTGCAAAAGAGTACAAAGTCGGGTGAAAATCATGGATTGGGAGACAGCGGTAGCAGTGACGACGAGGGAGACATAATGTTTGATCCTATTCCGTTGTATAGACAAATTTTAGAATATCTCAAACCCGGTGAAACTGTTTCAAGGACATTGTGCAGACTGGGTAAGACGCAATTAGTAATAGAAGCATGTACGCGAACTATCGCAGGTAGTAAACTGTGATTGTCCCCAATCCAGGTAAAGGGAAAAAGAAATTGACCACAGCCGAAAGGTGGAAGAAGAAAAAGGAGTCTAAAACACGCGAAGAAGAGGAAGATCCAAATTCTGTTAACATAACGAAGTTAACCGAGCTGGCAAATGAATTATTGACACGCACTGGCAATATGGACATATATCAAGAAAGTTATGAACAAATAAAGAAGAAGGTAAAAAAAAAGAAATTATATGACATTTATATACGTATAGTACATACATACTATCTTAATTACAAAAAAATTACGTTTTATAGATTGAACAAGCGGATAAACGTGCACACCCTTCGAAACAAGAAGCAGAACTAGATATGTACGCTGACGATTTTGATGAAAAGGAGAAGGCGAAACTGGACGACACCGATGATGGTGAGTAATTTAACTTATAGATCATTTTTATATTATTTTTCTTCCTTGCATAGAAACTTTTATGTTGTATCTGTACATATAATGTGCATTATATCATACAGGAAATTTAGCGGAGCCAAGCAATGCAGAAGAAAGTACGCCGGAGGAAAACGTAACGTGGGATTTGAAATGGTCGCAAAATGACAATGCGGAGATACACGGTCCTCACACTAGTCAGCAAATGCATGCCTGGGCAAAAGAAGGTTATTTCAAAAAAGGTGCCTGGGTAAGAAGAACCGGGCAGCAGAATCAATTTTACAATGCCTCTAGAGTAGACTTTGAACTTTATCTGTGACATTTCTATTCGATAAAAACATGTGAATAAATAGATATAAAAATAAATATTTTGTCAAATCACGAGAGTTAGATGTATTATAACATTAGCGTATATGTAAAATTTTTACACAAGAAAATAATAGATTGCGAAAAATCTATATGAATTTAAGATAGAGATCATGATGTAAGAACACGATATATTGATAAGTGGCTCAAATTATACATTTCAACCATTTTGATGTAATAAAAGTACAATCTTTCTTTAATTCATGAAATTTTGTTTTGTACTTGCTTGTACAAAGAGAAACCAAGAATTCGATGAAGAAAGTAAAAATATTCTAGAGGTAATCAATTTGTGAGAGAAATTTTATAGCGGATAAATATATGACAATATGAACAACACAAGATCAATTCTTGTTCATCAATTTATAAATAATCCGCTTTTATTTAGTAGATTAATAATAATAAAAGTAAGATGAAATACTAAAAAAATTCTGTGTTTAAATGCTCAAAAAGGCAAATTGATTTACAAATAATAATTATTTCATAATTATAGAAATGTCTAATTCTAAAATGCGCAATATATGATAAGAAGTAATTTATATAACATTTCTTCGTAAAATGCAATGTCTAAAATAATATTAAATCAAACCTATTTTTTGTGCAAGGACACTTATGCGTTTATCATACTAGCGTTTTATTAAACACCATCTGGTACTCAAATCAAGAAACGGAACTGAACTCATACTTCAGAGACTTCTTGCGCGTTCCTACGGGAAGAGGGGTCGTTGAAATTTATGGTCCGCGGAGCTTGGTATTTTTAAATAGGATTTTATATCCTTAAAATAAATCTATTTGTACCGTATACGCGGTATAGCCGTACATCCTTATTTATCTAGTAGAGCGAAACTCTCTTTTCCTTGATTCTTATGTTTATTTTGTACATTCTAGATAGGAAATGCTTTCTCGGAGCGAAAAGTAAAATGTCTCGCTAGAAATGAAAAGGATAAAACCTTCGCACTTATTTATTATGAAAAATAACTCACCCTTTTTTATCCATTATGTAGGCACATCTGATATATAGATGCAATACAGTTGCTCAATATATGTATATATATAAAGCGAGAGGGAGGGAGTTACATGTATTTTAGCTAACACATACAGACCACGAGGATTGTGCAAGAAAACTATAAACTATGAAAAGGAAAGATGAATATGAGAAAGTATATCTAAATAATAGAAGACAAGCGATACTGCATCAGTAAAAATAGTAAATCACAAATTGAAACTATTAAGCTTCGTTTGCATATGTGTAGACAATTGGCACGGTTTTCTTTTTTACTGAATATAATTTTATTAAACGTTTTGAACATTTTTCTTAGCAATGTACGAAATTTTGTATATATATATTTATGTAATTACTTAAAATATTATTTTAAGTATTTCGTGTTCACGCAAAAATCGTTCGGACACGAATATCTGAAAGTACACGTGTGCATGCATATATATATATACGTAGAGATTTGTATATGTTGTACATACAGGGGAATTGTTCCCAATTTTGCGTCCGTGCTCCGCTGAGACTCTTTGATTAATCTCGAGTTGATATTTTTCCGCGATGAAAATTACATTAGACACCATATTCGCGTCCATAATTTTTCGCAATAAATTGTTCGATATTAAATTGCTTGCTGTAACGTAGCTTTTAATTAAAGTTTCATTCAAGTAGAGTTAAAATTGATTGAAATTTACTGGAGCGCAAGATTTTTTAACACGTGTATGTACTACGCAGCGACTGCGAAGTTTAGTTTTCGAAGAGACCCTTTAATTTTTAAACTCGCGTTCGCGACATAATATATATACAGAAACTGTTAAACTCTTCCCGTATATTTTTATCGAGGGAAAATTGATTTTAAATCGGTCAAAGGGTCTCGGCTCTGCGTGAAGCGTAGCCGCACACGCTTGGGGACACCCCGATGTACGCCCGTACATTTTCGTAAGTATAAATCCGTACGTAGCTCATCTTGAAAGGTCAGAAGAATTTCAAGCGCGAATTTAAAGGATAGAAGTCCAAAGTCTAATCTAGACTAGATTACAGTAAGAACTATATGAATCGACACTTTCTTGGTAGCTACACGAGTCGATCTCTTTTATCGGGGAGGGTGGGTCTAGATACGGCTACGTCACTAAAAAAGTGCGGTGAAACACATGCAATGTACAATGTACCATATCGCTCGTTAAAATCCAATGTCAATATCGTGCGTCCAACAAGTTCATCAACAATTACATGCTTCTCTCGTAATCAGGAGATAAAAAAATATTCATTTTTTCCAGATTCATATTTACCTAGTAAGCAAGAATCTTTGCTGAACCCTTTTTCTCAAAATGAACCATGCTTTTCTCATTGTGTGTGTCAGTAAACAACGAATTATAGAATTCACAAACGCAAATAGAATGAATTGCATAATATGGAATTTTTACATTACAAAAATAATTCTTTTACAAAAAGAATAAATACATAACAATAACTGAAAAAGATAAAAGTACGAAAGTGAATGTATGACAACAACAGAACAATAATCGCTATTTTAATATAAATATATTGTTAACGGTATAAACAGCTGTAAATAATTATAAATATATTGCTCGATCGAACGGCAAAAGAAATGTTTTTCCGCTTTTATTCAAATAATTAAATTATATTATTTCATTTACAAAAAAAAAACAAAGTTCACGCGCTTGCATAAGACATATTGAATTTATACATATTTCCAGCTCCAAGCTTTTTTAACACATAAAATAAACTACATATAAAGGAAATCGTGTTAATAAATGTTTTGTTAATAAATATTAAATGTTTTTTTTTTCCAATCCTGTTTTTTGCCAATTATTCATCCCTTCAATCGGCACATCGGTTAACGTTCTGCCGAGGAACGCAAGTTATTCAAATTTGCTATGGAAATACGGAGGGTGCACGAAGCAAAGTGGTGAAAAGGTACATTGCATTACATCCACGCGATGAGAAAACAGTACTTTGGTCTTCTGTTTTTTTTTTTCAAGCTTGAAAGGACGCAAGGCAACCGGAGAACACAGAGGGGCACGTTCGAACGAGGGCGTAAGACAGGATAAGAACGAACACATACCGGGCAATACCGAATCACGTGCCGGTCTCATAACGCAGAGGCGATGGTGTTTCCTCGTTGCGAACTATCTTCCGTCGGCTTATCTTTATTGCACCGACTCGCCTAATCGCCTTTATTCCTGGGTCTCGGACGACCCGAGTTCCACGAGTTCGAGTCGCCGGGAATATTTCGGGAACGATCGTATTGCCGTTATGAAACCGGCGCCGTGAGACACACACGCGCACCATACACGCACGCACGCACGCACGCACGCACGTACGGGGAAACAAGTAAAACGAGCACTCGCATATGGACGTTTACGCACGTAAGGGTACGTCGTGATTTATCGGCGTCGGAACGGTTCGGATGCTTTTTTACTTATAGCGGCCAACTTTTCCGCAGGCTCACTTCTATATAAATCACGGAAGGTGATAATAATAAGGTCGTTACAACGTTGAATGCGTGGTGCGCACGATGATTTATCGGCCAAAACGTAGGAGCGTCTTATTAATATCTTAACAAGCTGGTACACCTGTCACCGTTCTTTAATTTTTACGGGAATAAATTCGAGAGAGAGAGATATTTCCTACGGAGAAAAAAAAAAGTTTTTTGACCGTTCTGATGCCGACTGTACCAACTGACGTGTTACACAGGCCTGTATGTACATACAAAAATAGTCGCCGTGCAGCAGCGGCACGCCTCAAACGCATCGAAGTCTCCGAAGTGCGGTTTCGAGGGGTGAAAAGGGGAATACACTCGCGGCTGAGAAGAGAAAGTGGAGAAAGAGAGAGAGAGAGAGAGAGGGAGAGGACGCTCGCGGAAGCCTTTATCCCTCTTAGGGTGGCTCCGGTCCCGCCAACCCCTCCCGGAATAAAGCGCCTCTATCTCCGCCTTGCTTTCGTCTTCCTCTTGGTCGTTCTCGAGACGAGATGCACGTAGCATGACTAACTACCATGACTAACGAGTCGGGCGAAGTGCCACCGAGGAATCTTGGCTAACCAAGCGAGTGAGCGAGCGAGCGAAAGACAGAGGGAAAGGGAGAACGAGCAAACGCGAAAATACTTTCGGATCGAATATTTCGAGCCGCGCTCGAGGGGTGGTCTTCTCGAATTCTCGAATTATCTCTATATGTCGGATGGATGAATAAACGAACAGGCGCCGCATGTGATTAAAGGCGCGAACAGAGCGAAGGAGGCGATGATGTTAAAAATAACGCTTGAAAAGTCACGTGTGTGTTAGGAGCTGCGCATCAGACCAGGTTCATACATAATTACTATAAGGATTCATATATAATTACTATAGGCTCATATATAATTATTCGCGCTCCTTCGGAGTTCTCAGATCTCATATTTCCAACGCTATATAGGTATATCTTCATTGCTGCAACACGCCCGGAGTGCCTAGGCTCTCCGGGTTCGTTCGGAGGAGTTGAGATTTTATCTGCGGTGATTACGAAGACGGTGGTTTATAATCGTGATGAAGTGAAGTCTCGGGATTTCTGTATGAAACAAATGTAAATGGAAATGCCGATGGAAAGGTTCTTAGTCGTAGCCCGAGCGGCATAGATGTATCGCGGATACTTGCTCACGATTTAAGCTCAATCGCGCGATTTGAACGGTAGGGAGAGAGAGAGAGAGAGAGAGAGAGAGAGAGAGAGAGAAATATATACAGGGATGAGAAAGAGAAATGGTTGGAGATGAACACCTAATGTCGGTAATCAAAGTTGTAAATTGGATCGGATTTAATTCCCCCTTCTCCTCAACACTGTTTCTTAATGTTCAATTGACAAAGAAACAAAGGAACGCGACTTATACGTTCAATTAAAATTCTGATCTTTCTTGATTATCTCTGTTAGAAATTATTTTGAAAATTAATCCAATATCCAATAATTCGCGCGCATACACACACATTTTATTGATCATTAAATTATTTTTGCTGAAATTTAAATTACTTTCAAAATAAAGTCGTGCATGCATAAAAATAGTTAAAAAACATCTCGCTGAGAGATATAAAGCAAATTACAGAAATGCAACGATCAGGAGACGAAATCCATGTATTATATACGTATATTTTAACATGCGCGATTACGCATATTTGAAATCTATCTGCCTTAAAATTCTAATAAAGCCGAAGGTCCAGAATTTACTGACTTTCCTCCTCTCTCCCTCCCTCTCTCTCTCTCTCTCTCTCTCTCTATCTATCTATCTATCTATCTATCTATCTATTTATCTATCTATCTCTCTATCTATCTCTCTTTCAAGATTTGCCTTTCTCTCTTCCATTCTCCCTGCTCCTGAGCAAGTCCGTCGTAAAACTCTTCGCATAATCAAAGAAGTAGAGTCGGTCGCCGACTTTCGAGTCAAACTACGACGATCGATTGCGCATTCCGCGTCGGAACTTTGTGACTTAGCGGGCCAAGACGATCCGTTTCGGCCGCCAAAAGCAGGAAGGTTCGTGATGCAGCTCGCTAGGTCAGTGGACCGCACACGGGAAGCACGTTAACAGAGGATTTTCATTCAAGCCCTCTCTGTCTCTCTCCCTCGCCAAGCTTCTCGCTTCGGGGTGGAATGAATTTTTCAGAGCGCCAAGCGTCCTGGGATGAAGAAAGGCTTGTGAGAGAAGCCTGCACATGAGCCCTGAATGTTTCGTTCTAATCGCATTAACGCTAAACGCTTTCACGGCCCTCGTCAATATAGTCTCGTCGGTTTTCTCCCCGGTATCTCCCTTCGTTTTCCTTTTTTTCCGCGCAGCTGAGTAACATCATTTTTTTTTTAAACGACCGCGCCCGGCCACTGTTCAGTGAGAACGAACGAACGTTGATGCGAATCGACGAGGATTGCCGACTATCTGGGGAAACTGCGAACGTTTCGGGGAACGGGAAGCGAGAACGGCGGGTTTCCATACATTTTTTATGATACCATCCGCATATCGAGCGACGGCGCGGGAACGAAAATCTCTCTACGCGGTCTCGTTAGAGCACCGCGTATATAGTTGCGTATCTCAAGGAAATTGACTTTCCACGGAGATCTACGGAGATGAGTAACCTTCGTTTTGCGCAAACAACGAAATGTTCCTTTAATGCTCGCTATTAATACCTATTAGATCTTCTCTCGAAAATGACATCCGTCATTAATTATTTCGATATAGCTATGAAATTAAACTCCGCTCTGTTCACTTATTGATGCTCCATTGCCAGATCGATACGCACATAATGAGCCTCCTTCATCATATTGATAATGATCTGCTCATTTATTATCGAAAAATTAATCGTACAGAAAAATACAGCATAACGCATGAGATTGGAAAAATATTATTATCAAAGTACACTTTTTTGACGCTTCAATTTAAATTTCATCTTCTATTTGCTTCAAGACACACGAACGTTGACGAAAAAGCACCCTTAATCTCTCCTCCCCCCCCTCTCTCACTCTCTTTTCTCTCTCATTCTCTTCCTTTAAATTCTGTCATTGTGAAAGTTCGAATTCTCCCGACGCGTAGTAGGAAAATGCGATTCAGTAACGAGACTTAATCTCCGGGTACTGCAAAAACTACTATTCCTACTACTACTACTATTACTACTACTACTACTCACGAAGTTGCAGCCTTACAAGCGGATCCAATTAGGAAGTTTTGCATATTCCGTTAGGGTTTCGTGGACGCGGTGCGTTTGGAGGCGTGCGCAAATATTAAAATAAAATAAACAAAAAGAGAAACACATACAAATAGGTTCTCAGGATCGTAATCGCGGATTCGCGTAACGATTTCCGTTGTCGTTTATACCGAAGATAACGCACGCACCGGATGGGCGCACATCTCTTTCGACGGAATCGCTATGGCGAGTCGCGAATACATCAAGCAAGTTCGATGATTCCTATAACGGAAACGTACGCACTTTATTCGTACTGCATTGAGTATATTTTTGTATTCAAAACGTAACATCTTTTTTTTTCCCAAACTTAACATCATAAATTAATAAATAAATATATATATGTATAATATATATTTATATTTTTCGTATGTATTTGCTTATGCTTCGTATAAATGTGTCCTTTGTAGTTGTCCCTAAATATATTCGGTGTGTAATGTGCTTACAGAGTAAAAGGTCGTAACTATTATTGCTTCAATTTACAGTACTTCATATATACGAACGAGGGATCCCTCCCTCTGTCGGTTGCAAAAGAGGGAAAGAAGTCGGATTCGCGACTTATAACGTAATTTGTTCCCTTAAGCGTGTCTCGTGTGGAGGAACGTGTTAACGTAATTTTTCAACGGCCAACTTATCGCTCTTCTTATTAATGGCGCTCTCTCGACTTCGAATTTGCAAACTTTCGAGCGCCCGAGTATCCGGATATTTTCTGCTCGATTTAAATAGTCAAATGAAACATCAGATATCTAATAAACGGTCTTTCAATTATAAAATATCTGATATCGGGACTATTTTTATATTTAGCTATATCAAAGTTTAATTATTTATATCCATATATCGCTCATTTGCTAAAAAAAAAATTGTCATTTTTCAAAATTTTTTGCTTGCAGAAAAAGAACGGAAACGGAAACGGAAATTAAAGATGAAAGTAAAGAACACACTTTTATTCCTCTACAATCGATTATTTTATCAAAATTGTATTTTAAAATTAATATTACAAAATTTTAATGATTTAAAATATTCAAAGTTATTTTCTGGGAAACTAATTTTTTTTTTTTCAGTTGTGTCGTTGTTGTAGCAAATGAACGATATAATTTATACTCATTTATTATCCGAATTAGCAACTTGTGCAAATGGATGTTTATAAGATAATCGAGTAAAGATATTCGGATCCGGATACTCACAAATACTTACGGACACTCGCGAAATCGAGTTCCGAGCTTAAACGAATATCTCGAATTTATTGTTACATATTCGGGGAAGTGGGCGCGGGAAGGTGGATATAATAAGAGCTGTATTAATCAACCCTTACAGCGGTTGTGTGACGTTAGCTGACAATTTAATTTAATTGTGAACCCCCCCGGAGTCTGGAACGGACCTCACGAAAAGTATTAATTTCTAGGTAGCTAGTAATCTCTAGAAGGACCTTTTTAATCGACTAACGCGACGCAGCTTTGATTTGATTTGTCACTACTTGTTCAAACGAATCCGACAGAACGAATGCTCGCCGGGCGGAGAATCGGGCCACTGCATTCGCACTGAGCCAGCGGATTTCAACTCGCAATCCTCGCAAAATAAATACGGGTCCCTCTCGTGTTCTCCTTCTCTCTTACGACCCGGCCGGTACAACGCGCTCTCGCGCTCCCACACAATTTACATTCCGAGTCAGATTGTGTTCCCTCAGTGAGAATGCATCCTGGCTTTCTCTCTCTCTCTCTTTCTCTCTCACACACATTCTCTTTCTCTCTAGCAGCGACGCAACTATCTCGGAAGACATTTCATTTTCACTCGTCCACGGTTGCTTCTGTTTGTCCTGGGGGGATAATTTCAGCGTGTCGCGCGCCGTAACCCCGTCGGTTTCTTACGAGCCAAAAGCACCACCCGTTCTCGTTCGAGCAACAGAATTTCGGATAATCCGCTTTCCTGACGACGACGGCGACGACGGCGACGGCGGCGGCGGCGGCGGCGACAACGGCGATGGTATCGATCATTCTTCCAACGCCAAGTGGAAAGTAATGTCCATCCACAATCTCGACGCCACTCTCGCGTCTTACCGCGGTACAAACTGTCCGGAACACTGTCGACGTCATTCTTTTCCTGTTCTTTTTTTTTCTTTCTATTCTCTCTCTCTCACACACACACAAACCCATCGCAAACGAACATTATCGTTGCTCACGTTTAGCCGGTGCTAAAATGCACCTGCAGTTCGTTGGTCCTCGTATGTAGCGAGACGTAGCGTGACCGATAACCAAGAGTTAAACATGGGTAGGGCCGAAGCAATCGTTTCTCCATACGATATATATCGTATACGTCGCGTAAATTTAACGGTCGACTGGTGATTCAGAGCGTGGTGTAAACCTTTCGTATTTCTCGCGCGCTATTGTCTCGCGGTCATTCCAGGTCCCAGCGCACATCCCGGTCCTCTCGTACATATAATACGACATGCAACGCCTCGAATATCAAGACGCGCCGCGCCGCGCCGAGGCAATAATCCCGAGACAGTTTCGGATAGTTAAAGGCCCGTGATACGGAGTCGACGGCGTATCCGGTTCCACCTAATGACTAGACTATCCCCCGGATTCACCGATTATACCCGCCGCGGCTGAACCCATCAACGCGCCGCAGCGGTGTTACGACCTCCGACCGCCCCGGCCGCCCTCATACAAAGACGACGTGCGGTTTCTCGGATAGCGGCGGCGGCGGCGACGGCGGCGGCGACGGCGGTGCCGTCGGCTCGTAATCATAATCGTACTCGTAATCGTAACCGTAGTCCAGTCGCCGCAGAGCGCAGTTCGACCTGGCGGCGGGTGGGCTGCGCGCACGATAGAGAGACAGCACTTCCGGCGGCTCGTCCCGCAGATCGGTCACGTCCGCCACCGCGTACACGCCCTCCTCCGCCGGAAGTTGCTTGCCCTGCGACGTAGGCTCGACGGCGTCGCGACGTCCGGGCCGCGCGTATCGCGGCGTCTCGTAGATATTCGTCTCCCGCGACTGCGGGCTGTAATCCGTCGTCGTCGTCGTCGTCGTCGTCATCGTCGCCGTCGTCGTCGTCGCCGCCGCCGCCGCGATCGCGGCCGCCACTTTACCGCGCGGCGAATCGTACGAGATGTCCTCGTTGTTCCGGGCCAACAGCCGACGGCTGTACGACTCGGCGCTCTTGTCCAGCCCGTTGTCGCCCCTGCCGACGTAGACCAGGAACTCAGGACGATTCGGCGCCGCGTACGCCAGCGACCGTCTCTTCCTCTTCGCGCGGGTCAGTCGCGCGATCAGGGTGAGCACGGCCGCGGCTGCCAAGAAGCAGCCGGTCGCCGACAGCGACAGGTACAGGGGGCTCAGGCGGCACCGTAGAGAGCCCTCGGAGAGCGCGATCAGCGCCCTGCCAGCGAACTCTTCGTCGGTGCAGACGATGTCATGGGTATCCAGCTCGAGCCGCGTCTCGTTCCGCCGCTCCTCGGCGCGGATCACGTTCCACAGCCAGTGAACCGAGCAGTTGCACACCAGAGGATTGCCGCCAACTCGTAGGTGTGACAGCCCGTCGACGGGAAACTGCGTCGGCTGCAGGGTCGCCAGACTGCATCGACGTAACGACACCCACTTGAGGTACCGGGCCCCGTAGAGGACTCGCGCCGGCAGCTCCCTCAATTCCCGATTGCCGTCCATCGAGATGCGCTCGAGGTTCACGTTGTCGGCGAAGGCCCGCGCGTTCACGCTCGCGATCATGCAGTTGTTCAGCTCCAGGGTCCTCAGCTCGAACAGATTGCGGAAAGCCACGGCGTCCAAGGTGCCAAGGCGATTGGTGCTTAAAACGAGACCCGTCAGAACGTTCAATCTGGCCAGAGCGGCCGTAGGCACGGAAGTCAGATTGTTCCCGGATAAGTCCAGATACAGGAGATCCGGCAGACGATCGAAGGCAACGTCGGCGATGTACCTGATGACGTTTTTCGACAGATTCAGGGAGATCAATGACGGTAACGACGGCAGGGAGTCTCGGTCGAGCTCCTGGATCAAGTTATCCGACAGATCTACGCGCTCGAGACTCGGCGCCAGAGCCAGATTGCTCGTCGGCACTTCCAGCAGCGAGTTATTGTTCAGAATCAGTGTTCGTATCTTATGCAAGTTCCTCAACAGCTCGTCGCACAGACTCGTGATCGAGTTGTCGCTCAGATCCAACACCTCCAGCTCGCTGGTGGACTTGAACGCCTGCTCGGATATCTCCGAGATATTGTTGCCGGCCAGATTCAGTTCCTTCAGGGACGTCAATCCGTCCAGGGCGGTCCTCGCTAAAGTGTGGATCATGTTGTTGCTGATGTTAAGCGCGATCAGGTTCTGCTGCATGCCGAAGTTCTCCAGGCCTAACGTGTGAAGGAGATTCGAGCTCAGGTCGAGGCTCTCCAGGTTCCCGTAGAAGCCGAAGGTGAGGTGGACGTTGGTCACGCGATTGTTGGACAGATCCAAGTGGCGGATCTCCGGGTTCAGCTGGATCGGCACGACCTCGAGGCCGGCGTAGGCGCACGAGACCCGTAGGCTCTCGTCGTCGCATCGGCATCGCGCCGGGCAGAGGCCACTAGCCACGACTGTCATCACGGCGGCCATCGCTATCGCGATCGGCAGCGTCGACGGCGATGACGGCCCACGTGATGCCATTCCATATGAACTTCTTCCGTACTGGAACTACCCTGTATAACAGAAACGAATAACGAGAACGATTATCGTCGGCGAATAAACGTATGAATGATGGAAAAAGCGCGGACAGAATGTGGCGACTATAAATGAGCTGAGAGTGTCGTTGGGAGACAGAAAATACCACGGGCAAAATTGTCGAAATTAATCGAAAAATAAGATTCGAATAGGTATAATTCGTCTATGCTTGAATATTCTATTCTCGAAAAACATTTCAATTCGGATTTAATCACCCTACATTTCCAAAAATCGCCGAAAATATAGTCGCGAAAATGAAACATCATTCGTTGCAATGCGGATTTATCTGAATATGTGACATTTACTATGTACCTGCATCAGTATTTATAGAATTACACCTCAAAGCGCGATAGAAATTGCTGCATCATCCGCGCGGTTCCAATTATCTCTTTAATGACCGACAGTTTAATGATATTAACCGCGTGTTAATTTCGCATTTCGAAATACTCTATCAAAATTCCACTTCTTCAAAACGGAGTGACGTAGCACTATCATTACAATCAACCAGATCGCGATAATGCGAAATAATTTAATTTGAAACGGGTGTTTAAAGGGGCATAAATAAAACTGAAATACGTTAAAGCACGAGCACGCACGGCTTCGGCCGGGCAATTAGAAAACATTTATTACATCCTATCATGTTTGTTCGCGCAAACGCGAAAACATTCTTCGCGCTTTATATACCGCATACCGGCGGCGCGATTATACGAACGATATCCCTGTATCATGAAGCTGCGGTAAATGTTTCGAATAAAACCCGCCGTTAGCTGAAAGACCTTTGTGAGCCGGGTAAACTCGGCGAAAGCGCGTAACTACCTTTTACGTTCGCCGGTTTGCTGCACAAGCTCGATGCAAGTTTATTTACGGACACCTGCACGCGCTCATTCGCGTTCAGATTTCGCGCTGCCCGCATCGTCGGGCGCTCCTCCCGGGACATGTCCGACACGGCGCAGTTTGTACGTCAACTTCTTTTATTTATTATTATTTTTTTTAATGCCACGCAGAGGGTAAATAACGCCACCCACTCTCGTGACAAAAAGAGGAAAACGGACAAACTGGCTGCGAAAAGAGCAGTAAATATTAAATCTGCATCCATACATCCCGGTTAAATTTACTGTGGCTCTGGCTAATTAAATCGACGACGAATCTCGCCGTGCGCTAGTCGACGTTTTTATTTGGCGATTTTTTTTTGGCACGTTTCTCGATTGCCTGTCGCCAGGGCAATCAGGTTAATTAGCACAAATTATCGCGTCTAGAACGCATTCGCATGTAAAAAATGAAATGGTGTTTCAATACAGAGGTGTTTGACGTCATACCAATTATAAAAAAGAAATAAACAAGTTAGAATGATGTCATTCGACATAACTACGTGATCGATGACACAGATTCTTTAAAAATCGATAAAAACCACTCGCATTAATGCAAATATCGCGATATTTCGTTTATCTCAACGTTACGTTCTTTAAGTTATATTAATTGTACAATTTTATCATTTTATATATAACTTTATTATGTATAGTATATATTTAAAGTATATTAACAATATTTCTTCGCATGCTGCTTTATATATTTTCCTCGTTTTATCCTCAGACGAAGAAATATAATGGAACCATCCTTCAAAGAAAGTTGGGGGTAACAAGAAAACGATACGTTTGCCAACGGCGCGTTTATTTCTTAGGGCATGGCGCATCCCTTCCTTAGTAAATTTATCCGCAAAACAAGCAATTCGACGAGTTCGTATTTCACGTGAAAGCACAGCATGCTTGGTCTATTGCGATAGAATTAAGACATGAAATTTACTAGGCGACAAGATAAACAACGCCGAGGCCATTAATATTTCATTAAAACTCTTACAAAGGTACAATGTTGTAACTTTCGTTCCAAACATTAGCGAATTTATAGTCTCAAACAATTTAAAAGATATATTAGATAGAAAAAAAAACAGAAAAACCAAAGAAAAAAAATGTTAAAATGTACGTTTAATCCTTTTTATTTTTCACAAGTACGACTAATATACGCAATTAAGCGAAGTTATCTTTAGATAGTTTGATAATTTCCGAAAAAAAACACTCTTTTCAAATGCATTTTTTTGCAGTTTTTTTTCAGATATTTCGATATTCGATTCAGAAATTTCGTTCATCGTGATGTTTTTCTAAAACGAAAAGCAAAGCGCTTTTCGTAATTGGCTCTGAAATTTCCATCTAACACGCGCATAACTCGACTGTCGATTGAAAATCGATACTAGATTAGCCCGTCAAATTAACCGCGAGTGCTTCATATAATGTATGTAGCCCCCGTAATCGGACGCAAAAGTACCTTGTACCGCGCGGAAAACACGGTTCGCGCGCGCGGAGAGGTAACGCTCGGAAACGTTACACATGGCCGCGAACTAACAACAATTTGCGATCGTTATATCCGTTAACCCGTGGCCGTGGAGCGAGCGCACGAATCGTAGGGGGTACGCGTGCATCGGAGGGCGGGATATTACGCATTGCGCCAACGATAATTTCAATCCCCGCGCGCACATCGCGAGATTTCTGCCAAGTCCTCTCCACCCCGTCGCTCATGTCCACAGAAATTTCCCCAATATCCTCGTTTCAGTAAGTGCTTGCCGCGCCCTCCGGTAATTTTTCACGTCTCTTTTTCCGCGCACCGTCGGGGAATAACAAATGGCGCTGATCTCACTGTCATGTATAATGCACAGATTTACAGCATCCCGCTATCTGGCACAGCTATACCGTCCAAAGCCGCCGCTGGGCCCTCCCCCCTCTCGCGCCCCCCTTCTTCCCCGCCCCCCTCCCGCGGTCGCCCATCCCGTGGCGTCCGCAAAAAAATGCAACGGACGTTAACATCCGCGGCAAGTAATATCCCGTATGGCGGCGCGCGTCATTTTCTCCGGGAAATCGGGCGCCCCTTTTTTTTCCTACCTCGCAACGGACGCGCCGGGATAGGGGCGTTTTTCGGCTCCGGGAATATCGCCGAGAGGAAGAAAGTTGTGAAGAGGGTGAAACGAGATCGACACCAAAAGAAGGGAAGGGGGATTAAGAAAGGAGGAGGAGGAGGAGGAGGAGGAAGAGGGAGAAGGAACTTGATTGCGCGGGGATATTCTAGGATATCTCGCCCCGCGGTAAAACTGACATCGCCCCTGATAAACAACGCTTGTCTACGACCATCGGGATGATAAGCGCAAAGCCCGGGAATTAGCTCAAGTATCGTAACTCAGTATCTAGGTCAGCGGGAAGTTTTTATTTCGCTCTATCTGGCAACTCGTTAAGGATTTACATTTACGAGGCTAACTATAATCTAGTTCTGCGCATCGTAAGTTTCGTGTAAGCTCCTGACTCAGCGGGACGATTAAGTACCCTTGAAGCTATACCCCTCTTAAAACGGCGCTCTGCAAGGATGAAATATTTAGTGCAATATCAAAGATCGGTAATTGTTTCTAAAGCTACGGCGGATACCTATCGAGAATAATCTTGTTGCGAGAAGTGAGATTGTGTTATTAAGGGCAGTTTATTCCGGCACAGCGCTGAGCAGTGTATTCAGGAGGAGAAGGATAGCTATATCGGCGAAGAAAGGGAATAAATTGCTTATGATTATATATGATATTAATCGAGAATCTTATATTTTGTCATCTACGAGCGGATCAGTGTGCGATCTTTTATGTTAAACGAACTTTAAATAATTACATATTATAATACATAATTTATATATGTATATAATTAATATACGCTTCAAATATTCTATACATTATTAATAATATATGCTTTAAATATTACATAACTCTTTTAGAATAATTCACATATAGTTTTCCCCGAGTTTCAATAAATAAATTTAATTATCTTGTATTATTGCAGCCTCTCTCACTCGTCATATTATTTAGATATAGTTCTGCAGTGCGCGCGCGTGTATCATTATCGTCGATATCTTATTACGCTGCAATTTACGTGCTACGTGATATTTTCGCGCAAAGAATTCATAAATAATGTTCGCGCGCACAATTTGCACGACGCATTTGTAACAAGCTCGCGCGGCACAATCGCGCCGATGCGAACGAAATTAAAAGACTTCACATTACGATATACGTATACATATACATATAGACGATGTTTCTCGTCCCGATATAAATTGTGGCGGCGGGTAATCCCGGCTGAAAAATTAATACAGTCTGGCAGCACAGTTTAATTCTCGATCGTGTGGGCGAAGAAGCGTCGGTATTCCTAAGATAGCCAAGTTAAAATCGCGTCCGTTTATCGGCCAAAGGAAACGTAAATAATAAATAAGACGACGGGGGGTTCTCCTCCCCTCGTCGCGACAGACGACGAAATTTGCCAGGACATGCATAATACATGTGGAAATGGCATCGGGGGCGGTAGTAGCTAGGCAGCCGCGGGAGGGGGGGGGAGGGTGACTTCTTGTCTATAATAGAATCTGCGCCCGTTCGCCCGATCCTACGCGGCATAAAGCAAAGAAGTCTCGGATAACGTATAACAGACCAAGTCATTCAATTTACGGAATCTCCTTTCGCCCCCTTGCCCCCTCGACCCCAGAAACCCGTTCTCGTTCTCCCGATCTCCGAACTCGACTGAAGACGAGCCAAAGTCATACCAAACTTGGCAAACCACCGAATAAACGACCGAGAGCTGCAACCACTCTCTAGCGCGAGGAGCACGGAACCACGCCTGAACTATAATTTTACGATTTACCTATATATCGTATCCCTATAATACGCTACACGCCGGGAAGATAACGTAATTCCGTGATAATGCAATTAGTAAATCACGTGCGTGAAATGAAACTTTTCCCGTCGAATACTGTTATCAATTACTATTCCGCCTTCGGAAAATTAATTCTGAAAATTGTGTATGAAAGAGCTAATTAATTTTGTCATACGTTTATTAAATTTACGATAACAAAATTTACGACAAATTAAGCTTGACAAGTTAAGTAAATTTAGGTTGCACGTTTATTATAAGAA